ACTTCATCTTCAAACACATTTGTGCAGTATCAGTGTATCATGTCATTGACAAAGGGCAGTTCAGAGGACCTTAGAAAAAAAGGATGCTCATCATGCTGGGAAAGGCTACAAAACCATCTCTAAAGCATTTTCATTGCACCAATCCTCAGTCAGATACTGTAGATTGTATGCAAATCAAGGAAGTTTAAGACTATTGTTACTCTCCCCAGGAGTGGTCAACCAACAAAGATCATGCCAAGGGCAAGGCACCTGATTGTCTGTGAGGTCACAAAAGAACCATGGGTAACTTCTAAGCAACTAAAAGCCTCTGTCACATTGGTTAATGTGAATGTGTGTAGGTCCACCATCAGGAGAACACTCAGCAACAGTGGTTGATGAAGATCTACTAGAAACATTTATTTGCAGATATTGTTGCAAAAGGGGGTCACACCAAATACTAAAAGCAAAGGTTCACATACTTTTTCCACTCATGGATTTGTGACAGTGGATCATTTTCCTCAAATGAATGACCAATTATGATATTTTTGTCAAATTTTTTCTATTATGTTCCCTTCACCTACTTTTAGGACTTCTGTGGAAATCTGATGTTTTAAGTCATATTTATACAGGAATACAGAAAATTCTGAAGGGTTCACTAAAACTTTCAAGTAGCACTGTCAGCATTATAGAAAATTGAAGGTTGGAAATATTTTGGAAACATTTGAAAACATTTCAGGTTTTTACCTGAGCATTGTTTTTTGCCATTTGGTTTCATTGAATTTCCAATAACATTTATTGGTCTTTACCATACAAGCATTTAGCATTAGTGACATCTAGAAATTAGAGAAGTGCAGTTGGCAGATAACAACCGGGAACAGATTTGATGGGTGTTACTTAGTTTAAAATAGTGTTTCATTATTTTATATTATCTTACTTTCCAAAGATATTTGTAGGATCAAGATCTGTATGTGTGTGATTACTTTTGTATAGGTTGGATTTGTGGTTACCAATTTGTGGATGGAATAACAATTCTATGGTACACAGAAAATTTAAATATCTGTCGTCATCATTTTGTTTGCAGTGAGAATTGTCGGCCTATATCTGTATGCATACACAAGTATACATTTGTATATGAACAAATGAATGTGTGTGTTGTATCTGTCAGCTGTCTTGGCGAATACATACATGTACATGTCATGTGTTCAGCACTTCAGTCAGGACAATGAAGATGCTCCATAAAAGTCTTCTACAAAGGGCCTTCATATGAATAAGCTAATTATAGAATAGAGGGTAGACCGATAAAATGAGCTTTCCATGTTTCCTACCTGCAGTTAGTAATACTAAAATCAGCCTAATTTATGCATTTGTATGTCATTCTCTGTGGAGAGAATAGCATTTTTTGCTATTACAATCCTCACAAAAAGGCTAGCTAACATAACACATTAAAACACAGAAATAAATAATAATCCATAAACCTTATCCCAGGAAAAATGCCAAAAAAATATCTAAATGCTCAACTGGACCCATTGGAAAAAAAGAGGTAATGAATCCAATCAGGGTCAGGTAAGTTTCATTAACTGAAATGTTTTGGGAGGGATTATTGACATAAAAAGTGTTCAGCCTAACTCCTTGTTGATATTGTGGCTCCTGCTAGGTCAAAACACTTAAATACTACTATAAAAATGCTTTAGCCTGTCACATTCTGAAGGATGCTAAATTGGTGAAACTCCAGTGCATATAACCCATTCATGCTATTTAATTTTTATTTCTTTTCTAACTTTGTTCTCAGTTTATTTCAAAGCCATAATATTTGATTACATTTTGCTGTGACTAATAAAATAAGCACTTATTGAATTTTAGGAATAGACAATTAACCCAGATATTCTGTCTTTAAATGTTTTTCCATGTGAACTTGAGACACTCCAAAAACTATATCACAAGCATCTCAAAAGGCACATTTAAACATGTGTATGTATACCAACAAATTCACAGAACCACAGCCTTATCCTCATGTAATATTAGTTTCTGAGCTGTATCCCAACAAAACATGCAAAAGTTGATCCATCAGATCCATCTGAAAATAATGTACACTCTGCACACATCCAGTTCTGCTACTGTGAAATATTCATCAGAATACATCTATATAGTGACTGAAAAATAAATAACCTGTCTAATCCCTCATCAATTCAAAAAATGCAAACCCTATCCATTTATAAACAGCATCTAGTAAATAGAGGGATAGTACATAGTTACCTAGCAACTGAGTACACAACTGTTGGCAAGTGCTTTAAGGTGGAATCAGTTTTATTATAATACACAATAGTACATTTTGTCCTGATGTATTGCTACTACTATTTATGAACACCACTTCTGATTTTAATAAAAGTCAAGAGAGTTGTTTATAAGTATTAAACTACATGTAAAACTATTATGCATTTCACCTGTGTCATAATTCAAGTGGTATTCAGATGGGTTATTATTTTTTTAATTAGTGGTCACAGTTAAGGATATCTAGTGCCACATTTTCCATTTAATGAAATACATAGTGACAATTTTGCCATATTCCACAACTTCCTTAATCCAACATTCTTCTAGGTTTCCACACCTGTCTCTACCCTTCACTCTACTAGCGTTCATATGAATATCTGCCAGTCTGCTAGGTTCCACACCTGTCTCTACCCTATACTCTACTAGCTTCCATAAGAATATCTGATCCCCTGGAATATCTGCTGGATTCCGTAACTTTATCCACCTATCACCCACATCTCTTATCCCTTCATTAGTGCGTCTTCCAGACTTCTGTTCAAAGTACACCATACTGCTGTCTTTTTATGACTTCCTTTCATGTTATAGAAAAGCTCTGGTAAGCTGACAGGCCCTGGAATGCAAAGCTAGGAGCTCAGTTTAAATGTATTAATTTACCTTTATTTAAAATTTAAAACAAGCATCAGTTGTATAGCACTGAAATCAAAAGATGAATTTGGTTCACATAACAAAGCTAGCTGTTGGTGTTTTTGACGAATGGCATGCAAGTGACACTTCCATGTGCAACTTTCATGCACAGTCATCGTGCTTGAGAGTCCAGTGAACATCAGTCACATTTAAGATTGATACATGATGTTCTTCTCTCACCAGACAAAAAAGTACTGATTCCTGATAGCTTAAGCTCAGACAAATCAGTACTGACTTCTGAAAGATCAAGTCATCAACTAGGGTGCAGTGGTATTCAGTTAGCACTTTAAACAGCACAAGCCGTAACCATTGCAGGTGCAGGCAGAAAAACATTGTTGTAATGTGATGTAATTTTTCCAGTGCCTCTTACCTCTTCTTCCTGCTCTATCCTTTTTCTGTTCTCTGCCTGAGGGCAGGGTTCCACTTCATACTCACCGCATTCCCATATAAGAGCAGCAGGGCTAAGCCACAGACCTGAGTGTTTCTGCAATATCCTTCTCTCCCTTGATCTTCTTCACGGATCTCTGGTCCCTCTCTCCCTCTTGCTCTCTGTCTCACTATCTTTGCTCCTCTCCTATTCTCTCCCTCTGCGCTCCGTGATAAGAGGCGTTCGTACTCTCTCCTCTTGCTTTGTCTGTTCACTCCACTCTCTGCCTCTCTCATGTTCATTGCCTTGTTGCTATGGCAATGGCAGTCCCATCCCAAGCGTTGGCATGCTCCCAGGAAACGCAGGTGACTGAAGCTGCAGCAGTGCAGCATCCCTGTGTACTTAACCCCTTTTTCACCAAGACACTCATCTATTCTATGATGTTGCTTCCAGCTCTCATTTGTCTCCTCAGCAACTAGACTACAGCTGATGTGTTCTCTGTCACACATGCTCACAAACAAGAACAAATACAGACAAAGGGATGCATACACGCACAGAGGAACACAGCCATATGGTGACAAAAAGAGACACCCATACACCCTATCTGCATTCACACTCCCACCCATAGGCAGATGGGCACATAGACATGGGCTCCATGCACAGATCCACATACGTGATATAAGTGAAAGCAAACTCATAAAGACACATACAAGCCAACACATAGAACCACATGCTAACTGATCCACAAACCTTTCTCAGAGAAAAAATACATATTTCCACACACAAATGCATGCAATATCACACTGTATTTAAATAGCTCTGATGTAATATCACTCACATAGGTTGGATTCATTTAGTTTGTGTGAACAAGAAAAGTCATGGAAACTGTTTGTTGGCAATCAAACCCTTAATCTGAGCATTTGAATGGCAAGGTGTTGTGGGGAGAATGTATTTTAGTACATCTGACCAGATCATTGCCACACACCTGGTCACTGTTTCTGGCTAACAGAAAATAATGATCTTTTTAAATAAACCCACTATTGGCTGTTTGGGGATTATTTAAAAAATAACTACACTTTATAATTAAGCAGAGTGTAATATCCATTACAGATAATGTGTTCATTCAGCCTTTTGTACTCATCTTGAACATTCGCTCACCATGCTGATGTGAATGAATGGCGCATAAAAGTCTTTTTCAGGTAGTATTACATTTTTAAGCTAGTGGTTATATTAAATCTAGGTATCCTATTTAACAGGTTTAGTTTAAGAAACCCAGGCCAAGCAATCTCTGCTACTATCTAGAGGTGACCACCTTCACAGCACCAGGAACTTTGAACTGTGAACAGCATATTGTTTTACTTTTAAATAGATCTGTTAAAGAAATGTAAATGGGACAGTTTATTCAAGCATATAGCAGAACAGCAACAGAGAATAGACTGTGCATACCCTAATAATGGATATAGCCGCTTTGTTTCTTTTTAATATTTTTCCATGTCTATTGCTCTTATTTTAAGAACAATAAAGCAAACATCCTTCAAGTTCTAATGCACTAAAACAGGCATTATGCTAGCTTTGCACAGCATCATACCATTTACATACAAAGATATTTCTGCAGTACTATTTCAACTGAGATGAACTGAATTAATGCTTGAGGATGTTCACTCCATATCACAATCAGAATACAAGAAGTGAGATTACTCACACTGATGAGCTCAGCCTCCCAGATCTTCTTGACCAGTTCCATAGAGGTGTAACCATTGATGAGAAAGGACTGTGTGTAGTTCCCAAGTTCCAAAGATTCTAACCACTCTGCCACTGAAGTGGGGATGTTTCCAGGATGACCAATGGGCTGCACCTGCATTCAGACCATTGAGGGAGATATATATGCAGAGGGATCTGATTTTTCAGACAATGATGAGTGTGACAATGCTGAACAAACCAGGGAATTAATACATCATTTTGTTGTTCCTCACTGTTGCTGTAGATCAGGTTTTTTGCCATCCTGTGTAACTGTATCTTTGCTTAATTGTTTGATTATATTTTTTTAAATTATATCCAGGAAGACTCAATAGATTAAACAGAGAGAAAAAAAAACATTGCAGCACAACGAAGTAAAATAATTCAGATCTGCTGTCTCTCTGCAGTTCAAGACACAGCTTGAGGAATAAAGGGGGAGTCATCCATGTTGTATCGTAACCAGTGTGCAAAATACCCGTCAATATTCGGGGGGGTTCCCATCTCCCTATTGTTGCGCAATACCCATCTTGAGACCCCCTTAAAATTTTGCTTTTGAGGCTTTCAGGGGGTCTCATGGGTTAATTGGGGGTGTCAGACCCCCCCCTGTATTTCACACGCTGGTCGTAACCTCATCTAACCTAGCAGAAGCGTGGGGTGGGTTGTTCAGGAATCTTTCAAAGCTTTCCAGGATCTCAGATTTTACCCCCACACTCACGTTAGGCAGGAGGCGGGTGGCCTGAAGTAAACGCTGCCTGTGAGCTGAGTTAAGGATACCAATCTCCAGCAGGTCTTGGTCTTCCACCACATTACCGCCCTGGAGAAGAAACAACATTACAGCACTATACACCTTGCGTGTTAATGACACAATGAATCAATTTTAAATAATTCAAATTCATCCTAGCTGCCTGCCATCTGCTATCCCCTTGACTGGTAAAGCTAATACCAGAAAACCAGTGAACTGGGAATTATGTTCCGTAAATTATGAATGTTTTGTGAATAATCAGTTTTTATTTGTGTGATGAAAATGGTGTTTTGTGTCCTTGTCACTCATCTGTACAATTGTGTGTGTCTGAGAGGGAGTGAGAGAAGGAAAGCTGCAGGAATTTTATGTTACTAAGGAAACCTGGCACAACCACAAACATTTAGTTGGATAACAACGTTAGAAGCAACGTCTAGCTTCTAATATCAGGAATTATATTTAGACAGAAGAGCAGTTGAGACGTAGTTCATTTATGTAGATGCTGAAGAAAGGAAGTAAGCCTTAGAATCAAAGGCTTCTGAGATGGACATTGTTTCTACTCCCTGGCAAGGCTCAAGATGAGCACATTACCATTTTTACATAAGCGCTTATACCTGCTGCCACTCATGTCTCATTGGCTAAATACATCTCTGCTCAGTGATTAACAAATTCTGTCAATTGCATTGTTGCTTCCACTTAAGAGATTTTATTCATCTTGTAGATTTTAAATGTGCAGATGTGATTTTTTTCTTACATAATTATTTTTTACTCCGGAATTTAAATTCAGTTGTCTTCATGCTTTCTGCGTCTTGTATTCAGCTATTTGCTCATGTTCATTTCAGTTTGTTCTGATGTAATTTTTTTCAGGTATCATTACTACTTCCTATTAGAGTTTATTTATTTGAATTAAAATTTAAGTGTTTTTCTGTCTCAGTAGGTGAGAATTTCTGTGTGAGAATTCAAATAATAGGAATTTGGATAAAGGTAACTGGTGGGTAATACTCCTGTATCTTGCTTTAGTTCTATGTCATTATTCAAATGTTTTTCCATCTATTAACTGGAACATTGATCAATGTATTGCTCACATTTTTGAAATTCAAATAAAATGAATAAACACTGCTTATTTTTCCCATTAGTCAATATTATATAGGCATGTGTTGCGGATTGACTGGAGTTGAGTGTCAGGTTTGACCTAGTCAAAGGACTTGTTGGACTTTTATCCTTAACCTGTCACTGACTGTACTGTACTTCTTCATTATGATTGTAGGAGGGCTGTAGAAGTATAGTAGTGTGACGATGTTTTATAAAAGGGAAAGAAAGTGAGTGAATGTTGTATGTTCTGTTAGGTGCAGGCTGGAGCCTGTGTGTGTGTGTGTGCATGTGTGTGTGTGTGTGTGCGTGTGTGTGTGTGTGTGTGGTCTAGGTATACCTTACCTTGTGGGGACCAAAGGTAAAGTAGTCATAGTTAGCATTAGAATTTTTCCCATAGAAATGAATGAGCGATGCCCAAATAGATATGATTAAACGACTGTGTGTGTGTGTGTGTGTGTGTGAACATGTATGCATATTATTGACCTCATTAATTTCATGACAGACAGTTTCTGGATGGAGAAATCGTATTTGGCCTGTAGGTTTTATCAGTCTTACAAAATGCACAAAGATAAACACATGTATCAGTACACACACTAGAAAAATGTTTATATGTTTACACACACTAGAAAAATGTTTTTTATTACAAACAGTAATTCACAAGAACTTTTAAAAATTCTGGTACAAGATACATTGTGTACTACAAACATTTTAACAAAAAACATGCTTTATTATTGACTGTTGAACAAACACTGCATGATGTAGATCAAAGCTAATGAACATGGAAGTTTCATTAGCAAAAGCATTAAAATGATAGAAAACTGAAAAAAAAACAGAATGGGATACGGTTACTGCTATTGAGGTTGCATAGTGAAGTGTGCATGCTGTCCCTGATTATTATAGCGAGAAGAGTCTGAAAGTAATGTTACACAAAGTATAAATTAAGTTGCAGACAGAAGTCTATGTAATGATACAACACATCCAAACAAAATGCTACTGGTCAAAATCTGAATGCAGTGCTAGATTATGCAATCTAAAGACAATGTTATATATTAGAATCCAGAAAGAATGCTACAAACTAGAGTAAACAGTAGACTGCATTGCAATGCCGAATCTGAATGAGGTTTTACACACAAGAGTCTGAACGCAGTGTTACTTGGTTGGGGTGAATGAGGTACTGTACATTAGAGCGCAGAGTAGAATGAATTACACAGTTGAGTCTGAATGAGGTGAGGTATGTTACATAATATAGTCTGAATGCAATATTACACAAAGAATGGAACATCACATAGTACACTGAAGAGTTGCAATGGATGTACTCACCATGAATTGGACATTGTCAAAGCCGTTGGCCACCAGGTGATTCTCGTATTGAACGAGCCCAATGTTCTCCAGCCACTGGCCCACAGACTGGACTGGGCACCGTGGGCCTGCAAGGGGGTTTAGAGGCAGTCGTTTCAGCAGGGAAGATTCGTCCACGCAGTAGTCGCGGCAACCAGCCTCATCAAGCTGTGACTGCATGGCGCTCAACGCTCAGCAGCAGAAAGAAAAGTAGAATGAATAGGTAGTGAGATGGCAGCACTAGGAGGACAGCGGTGGTGTGAGCATGCCATGGAAGCCAAATGCCATTTCCCCTGGTGCATCAGCTTCTGCTCCAGCTCCCGGCGTTATGTGTGCATGTGAGTGAGTGAGTGAGTGGACGCTCTTTGTCAGCCTCTGAGAGTCGTACAGCCATTACTCCCACTCATTTCCAATAGCTGCAGATCTGCTCCTCTGCACCGCCCACCCCCCACTCTCCCTGTCTACTGGCAGCAAAATTTCTACAGTACCAGGCTCTGTAGAAACAGAAAAGCACTCTGAGCTGCTTCCTCCCACACACATGCATGGGTCTCATCTACATACCGTGCACACACACAAACCTCACACGTAAAAATTCCTACACACACACCATAAATTGAATCCTCATATACATACACAAAGGCATTATATACAAGTCCCCAGATATTAGTTCATTCATTTGTTCATTCATTCATTCAACTTCTATACCACTTTTCCTATACATGATCACCGGGGTCTGGGTCTCAGAAACAAAAGATGTAAGGCAGAGAATAACCCAGGATGGGGCTCCAACACATCACAGGGCTAACACACATTAACAGTGAATTTGGTAATTCCAATTCACCTTAACATGTTTTAGGACTGTGGAGCGAACATGGACAACCCATATGTGAGTTTAACATATCCTGGCCTAACAAAGTAGTACTCTTTCTCTGTTTCAAAACTGCACTTCCCAAACATTTTCTGTCTGGGTCAGCGCCCATCTGCCCCTGCCCTCCATGCAACTACCCCAGTTGGCCAGCAAGTGGTGCTGGCCATCCCACGTTTTCACTTCCTGTCTAATCCTTGTGTGTTCCCATGTTCCATGGCTCAGGGGGTTGAATGTGTGGCGCAAAGGCTGCAACCCTATGGTTATGGGTTCAAGGCTAGCCTTATCTGTTGATATTTGTTTTATCCTTATCCTTCATTTGATATTGTTTACGCTTGTGTTTAATTTTTCTTATTTATGGTTGTCTGCCCCTGCCGTGGTTATTTTCTGTTTTACTTGTTTCTTGATTTTCTCCTAGTGTAGTATTTCCCTGTGTTACCTTAGTTCTGTGTTCATTAGTGTTAGTCACTTCACCTGTGTCTTGTTGCGCTCTGCCCTACTTGATTGGTTGTTTTTGATGATTCACACCTGCCTTTTGTTAGTCCTTGTTGTCAGTGTATTGAAGTTCCTGCCTTTGTTCATTTCTCCAGTTCGTCATTGTTTGAATTACTGTGTGTATTCTGCCCGTTTGTGTAGTCCTGTTCCTGTGGTTGCCTGGTTCCTTTAGCTCAGGGGTGTCAAACTCCACTGTGTTTTTGGTTTACCTTCATTTAACACACCTGATTCAACTCCTTGTGCTAATTACCACAGAGCTCGTAAGCTAAATCATTTGTGGTGGAACAGGGAATGAGCTAAGCTACACAGGGCTCCGGCCCCCCAGGAATGGAGTTTGATACCCCTGCTTAAGCTGGTGTATGTACAGTATGGGCAATTCCATGAAAAGAGGGACATAATAAGCAAAAAATAAAACTTTGTTTTGTATCCAGAAAAGGCACTAATTTTATCCACTATATCCCTAATTTCAAGAAACAATTTGAGTTCAGGATAGAAACACTGTGAATTTTCAATCCCAAAAGCACCAAAACAGGTGAGTTGAACCCCTGAAATAAGCAGTAATTAATTAGCTAACACAAGTCATTTAAGTCGATTTGTTATGTTTAGAGCATCAATTTGTGGCAGAAAGGAGCTTCAGTCCTAATGTTGAAGCTGGTAACTGGCAGGCTGGGCTGATTTTTACTTCTCTGTCAATGTAACGTCTGTCACAGAAATTGTGAATTGATTTCATTGAAGGAAAATTGGAAGGAATAGGGACATAAGCTTTTCAATTCTCTAAGTTCTAGACAAGGCAAAATCAATGATGTGCCAAGTTTGTCCCCATGTCTGGCAAGTAGCATGGGCAAGGGGATGAAAAACTGTAACGTCCGTCACATGTAACGTCCGTCACGTCCCAAGAAAGTGGTAGGAATGTTGTCTTTTTTTTATCTTATTTGTGTATTCTTTCATCTTTCTTAAGACAATAAGTAGTTCCACTAATTCCCCAAAGGTGGCAGCTGCAGCAAGGCAAATAAACTCCCACAATGCACCTGGCAATTTAGGACATGAAAAGAAGCTGCCATTTTCAATTTTGTTTTCATTTGGATGAAAATTCAAGAGTAAAAACAAATTAAGTATAAATTCTTCCCTGGGGAGGTTCACAGATCAGAGATGGGAACTTTGAAGTGACAGTCATGTATAAAAAAGGCAATGACACCTGGAACTGGCCAGATGGAACACATGAAGACAAAATCTTCTATGTGAGAGAAAAGATGATAAAGAGACTCCAGCAACCAACCATGGTAAATAAAAGAGATTACTGGGGTGCTCAGTTCCTCGACTTTGATTGATTGACCCACATGAACTGAACTGAACTCACCAAGTGGATGTCTCAACACTGTTTCACTAATTTTATGGTTTGAGTAGTTGCCCAAGTTTTGGCATATTTCATTATTTGCAGATTTAAAGTGTTCAAAAACAGAATCTGATGTGTTTGTAAAAATGGTAATTTGAGTTTAAAATGTTTTAAAGGTTAAGAAGCATTTGCAGTTTGAATTTGAACAACTTGAAGGTTTTCAGAACATTTTCAAAATTATTTCTTTGTACCGGTCAATTTTAAGATAAAATTAAGGGCAAATTTTGATTTCCCAGTTTAAAACACAAAAAAACTAACCATTTCTCACATCACAGGACACAGTGGACAGAGGTAACATCCGTCACGTAACGTCTGTCACACACAATTTGGAACAAATTTGGTAGTGCCTCCTAAGGGACTCTGATTAGAAACAATATCATTGCTTGTATATAAGAAGGATGAGTCACTCTATAATCCTAGGGTAAACATCAATTTGTACCTGTACTGAATTCAGAGAATTCTGATAATAAATATTATTTGATTTTTTCCATGTCTTTTTTGCGTAACGTCCATCACGCCTGTAATTTTGGTTCTTTTGAAAATCACAGAAGTCACAAGATGACTTTTGGTCCCCCACCAAACAGGTTCAGGCCTCAACTATAACCACACATAGGGTTAGGTTCCTTGGGGTACAACTTTAGCTGGGAGAGTGGTTAGTAGGCCTCAATGTCCGTCTAAATGTAACGTCTGTCACGATGGAATTGCCCGTATGGTTCTGTTAGTTATTTTCCCCTGTTTATTCCTGACCCCTCACGGTCCTTTTATATTTTACCCCAGTATGTTCAGTGTTCTTTGGTAAATGGCCCTTTTATCTTCCAGCCACTAGTGGATCGTCACCTTTTTTTCCCGCCTGTACCATAACAATTTTCATCTTAATATGGGAAAAATCTCAAAAGAAATGTTGACTCTCACCCATCAAATGCCTTTTCATCATCTTGTAACAGCAACTGAATTGTTTGCTTAAATTTCACCACCAGCTCAATTAATTAACTTAATTAGACAAATGACTCAATGAAATACTGATTAGTCAAAGAAGGTGGGGTACTACTCCACTAAAAAAATACACTGCTGTAATGGACTGTTGCCGCAAATACTGGGGTTATTTTAGGAGAGGGTTTGAAATGGCTAAGTTGACTCACTTTGACAGACATAAAATCATAGTTTTACACCAACGTGAAGATCATTTAAACATTACTTTCTTTGACTGTCTGAAACTTATGCACAGTACTGTATACACAATCACACACAGACAAATACACAGACACACCAAGCTGCTTGCTGCAGTCACATACCCACACAGTTCTGAAACATGGACAAAACCTATTACATACACTACTGTAGAAGGTTTCTAGTAGACGATTAAGACTGGATGGAACAGAGAAAGGAAACATCCACAACATATGTTTTTAACATTACCAAAAATGGTTATAGAAACAGACCTGCAGTCAAAAGAGAAGTACTGTCATCATATCCTGTAGTAGACATGGACTATTTAATGAAAATATACTTGCAGTGGTCAGTTTATTAGGTGCTAATGCAAACAGCTGCAATGAAAACATAGAGCATGGAGACAGCGTCAAGAGTTTAATTTACTATTTGACTAAGCATTAGAATGGCTGAGATTTTTACATATTACAGTGTTTAGAGTTTATTAAGAAAGGTGTAATCAGCCAAAACATTCAGTATTTTTGTAGTTGAAAATATCTTGTTAATGAGAGAGATCTGTATTACAATTATCAGAAAGGCCACAAGTACTGTACAAATACAATACTTTTGTGCAGAATAGCTCCTCAGAATGCTCAACACACCTATGTTGAAGTGATTCTAGAGGCAAAACTAGATCCTACCCACTACTATCTAACTGTATCCAATAAATAGTTACATGGGCTTTTAAAAAAAACATTGCTCTGTAAACATAATCCCCTAAGTATCCACAGTAAAACAATAATATCCAACATGTCATTAGCGAAGAGGCAAGGAATGGGAAGGAATTTTGATCTGTCAGACGGCACATGCATTCTTCTTGGCCTTACAAAACAATAGTTATTGGTCATCTTCCATTACACTTAATTCTCAAAGAGCTCCGCTGGAAATCAGAACATCAGGTTGGAAGATAAAAACAGAATTCATAATTATTTTGAATTTTAATGACACACACAGCTATCACCAAGGCAACCACCCTGTATTCTGTTAACAACCAAGAAAAAAGCATGGTTTGTTTTTCACAAAAAAAGTTGTATACGAATTTAGCCAGGCTAATAACTAAATATCCATTCTGACCCTTGGCATATATTGGCCTTTACTGAACTACTGTACCAGGTCCAATATCCAATATCTGGCCAATATCTGAGTTAACATTTTGGTATCAGCTGATATTCACTAAAAATCAAGATGTTGGAATCTCTCAATATTCGAAGTTAGCAGCAACAGAGTTATAGACACAACTACTTAAACATTGAAGATAATTATTTTGGACGATCAGCTATTTTCCATAGTGGAGGGCAAGGGATTTCATTGGCTCATTCCAATAATCTGCGCAAGCAAGCTCTGCAAGTTTCATCATGTGCCCACTCCCTCCACTAAATCAACAAGTGGCTCAGACGGTAGCTGGTTGTTAGATATTGGCAATATTAGACAAAAATATATTTGTCATCAGTTAAAAATTTCACATTGCTGTACCAGGTAAACTACATGGACCTGTACTGGATAAGCAGTGATAATATGGATGGAAAAATGTATTAACATTATGGTGTAGCACTCAAATACAAATCAAAACACCAATTTTATTAAATGAAATGTTAATTTTAAAAAATGCATGAACATCAGCTATATTTTAAAAACTGCCCAAGTCAGGCCAGAAATTTGCATGTGCTTTGTATAGTGCTATCTTCTTTCACACTGTGTCTCAATCAATCAATCAGACTTTATTTATATATCACTTTTCTTACAAAACAAGATCAACCGATGAGACGCCCGAGGTGCCCGCTGAGGCGCCCCCTGCTGGCCACGTGTCGGCGGTGCCCGCTGAGGCGCCCCCTGCTGCCCGCACGCCCGAGGTGCCCGTTGAGGCACCCCCTGCTGGCCGCACGCCCGAGGTGCCCGCGGCCCTGCCTAACGCAGCCGCTCTGCCCGCGGCCCTGCCTGTCCAGCCCGGCTCGCCTGTCCAGCCCGGCTCGCCCGTCCCGCCTGTCCAGCCCGTCCTGCTTGTCTCTCCGGCTGCACTGCCTGCCGCCACGCCTGAGGCTCCGGCTGCACCGCCTGCCGGCTTGTCCGTCCTGCCTGTCTCTCCGGCTGCACCGCCTGCCGGCTCGCCCGTCCTGCCTGTCTCTCCAGCTGCACCGCCTGCCACCACGCCCGCGGCTCTGGCTGCACCGCCTGCCGCCACACCTGCGACTCCGGCTGCACCGCCTGCCGCTACGCCCCCTGCTCTGCCCGAGCCTCCACCCGCTGTGGCTCCAGTGACTCCATCGCCCTTGCCCCAGCGAGGCCGACACCCCCTAGGACCCCGCCTTTCCGTGTCCCGTAAGGGGAGGGGACACAAATGTCGGGCCCGGGTCCCACCCACCCTGCCCTGTCCCCTGGCTCGCCTGTGCGTCCCCTGGCTGTGGCTCGGTGGCTGCCTGCGGGTCCCCCCCCGGTGCCTCGGTGCCGGTCCTCGGTCCCGCCTCCGTGTCGGCCGCCTCTGGGCCCCCCTGCTTCAGCGGGGCGTCGGACGGCGCCTTTTCCGGCTCCGGCTTCCCCTTCACCTGCCACGGCTTCCCCATTCTGCCTGCCTGCGCCAGTGGTCCCTCCTGCTCCCTCCATGTCCCCTCCGTCACTCCCTTGGCCCCTGTGTGGTCCCCTGCGGCTCCTGCCTCTCTCTTGCCTGCAGCCCCTCTGGCCGCCGCCCGTCTGGGCTCCATCAGGCTCCCCTTTGTCCTCCGTCCCTTCCTGTCTGGTCTCCCTGGTCTGCTCCTCGTCCCTTTGTCCCTCCTGTTCCTGCTCCTTCTCCTCCTGTTGTGCCTCCGTTCACTCCTGGCCCTTTTGTTCCGCTTGTGGGTGTTTCCCCTGTGTCTCCTTTCCTGGTCTGTCTGTCCGCGTTCCCCGTCCTTTGTCAGGTTTTGTCTTGGTTTCTGCCCCTCTGCTTGTTTTGTGTTTCCGTTCTGTTTCCTGTGCCCCGGTGATGTCTTGTTTTTTGTCTTTCAGGTCCTGTTCCCTTGTCTCGTCTGTCACCTCCCCTTGGGCGTGCCCGGTGTGCATGCCTTTGGGGGGGGGGTTCTGTCACGCCCAGCTCCGTCCGATCCTCGTGTGTGCCACGCCCACCTCGTTACCTCGTGTTAATCCCTGACTGTCATCACCTGTTTCCTGTTCCTTTTTACTTGTCTGGTGTATATTAGTCCGCGTCTCCCACTGTCTCGCAGATCTGTCATTGTATTGTCCGGATGTTCATGCCTGTCTGCCCTCCGTTGCCAATAAACCCTGTTTGTCCGTCTTCACGGCTCCACTTGCCTACTTCTCTGCTCGCCAGCTTGCGAGTGTGATACAACCCACCCCTACTTCCACTCTCACCCAAACTATGTAAAATAAAAACACAAAAGACATGAAAGACAATCATAAATAAGTAAATAAACAAATAAATAGATAACTGTCACGCCCGGCTCGTACGATCCTCATGTGTGCCACGCCCACTCATTACCTACGTGTGTTACCCCAATTGTGATCACCTGTTACCTGTTATTTTCTGCTTGTCTTTTGTATTTAGTCTGCATTCAAGTCTGTTTCCCTAGGTCTGTCATTGACGTTGTTTGCTGTGAGCTTCCCTGTCTGCCTTGTTACCCAGAATAAATCCTGTTCACTCGTATGCACGGCTCTATCGCCTGCTTGACCGCCCGCAGTCATAACACTAAGTAAATAATGAAAGAACAGAAATGACAATAAAAACAGAATTTGAGGAAATGTTATCATTGATCTCAGAAATTTGCATGAGGACATGCCGGCCGTGCGCCTTTAAGAATATGCAGAAAAAGTATCAGATATAGCGGACTCGCATTCAACAGAATTTCGCTTATAACAAACAATTTAGTCCCCAGCGCCACTTTTAGCTGTAGTTTTGTTCAGCTATAACGGATGTAGGAATTATTAGCTCAGGTAATTTTTAATATCTCCCCCAATATGTTTGAAATTAATTAAAGTTTAATTAATTATTATTTAATGCTGATTATTAACCAATCTTTATGCCGAATGGTCGGCTCCTCCAAACTCA